AGCAAACAGGGCACCCTTCCTCCTTCGCCCCTTTGAGGAGGATCCCTTCCTTCCTCCATAAGGTGCTTATTGGACATGGAGTTTGGACTCTCAAGTCCAGGGCTGCTATGCCAAAGGACCGCCAGTCCTTGTGGCCCCGAGAGAATAGAGCTAGCTGGTATTGCTCAGGCGTTGCCCTGAGGAAATGAATGAGCATATTTCGTTTGGCCCAGATGCATAATTTTGTCTGCTGCTTTCTCGGCCTGCTCCTTGTCTGCAGACTGGTCTTGCAGTGCCTGCAGAAAACCAGCTACCCCCAACCTCTGTGCCCAATCAGACATTTCCGTACCCTGCTTGCCAGAAGTAGAGGTGCACTATTTCAGTGCAGTCCTTTCCAGGCGAGCAAGGATGACAGACACCTTGACGTCCTCATCACAGTTGAACCCACTCAGGTAGGTTCGCTGTGCAGTGACCCAATCTGCAACGTCCACCTTTGGGTCCTCACCAAAGAACATGGGTGGAGGTGTCAGCTTGGGCCGCTGAAAGTCAAATGATGTCGAGGGATGTGAAGGTGCCGTTTATTTGGGTGTAGAGGGAGGAGATGTGGGTCTGGATTGTGGGGGAGATGTAGGCAATCCTACTGCAGGGATTACCTTCATTCTAGACTGGATATAACATCTGATCGTCATCCTGAAGCCAATGGACAGGCTGAAGTGATGAACCAGCTTTTGTTTCAGTTCCTGCGTCCTGTGATCAGTCCACATCAGCAGGACTAGGATCTCCATTTGAGTCGTGCACGACTTGTGTACAACACGTCTGTACACTCCTCCACAGGCTTTACAGCCTACCGGTTGCACTGGGGTCGTGAGCCACGACAACCTCTCGATGACATCATCGATAAGGCTATCCCTACGTTGACACCTGGAACTGCAGAGTTCGCGATGCGTTATCGTGTGGACATAGAGCGCGCCTGTGCCAGCCTGCTGAAAGCTCAAAAGGCTATGATTCAGCAGGCGAACCGGCATAGACGTCCTTCTACTATTCGCACAGGTGATTGGGTGTGGGTACTCAGTTCTGAGTTGTCATGAGAGGAGGATATTTCGCCGAAGCTGTTGCCACGATACATGGGTCCATGGCAGGTCTTAGATACAGTGGGAGCTGATCCATTTGGACCATCCTATACAGTGGATGTCCCTCTGCATCTACAAACCTACCTTGTCTTTCATGCATCTAAGCTATTACCATTCACCTCAGCTGATGCATTCCTTGACAGGCCTCCTCAGTTCGGTCCCCCTATCCCTGGCAAAGGATATGAGGTGGAGTCCGTTGAGGATGAGTCAGGTACAGGTCCAAACAAGGAGTAGCTTGTGAAGTTCTTATACCAGCCATATACAGAAGATTGCTGGTTTACCCGCAAGGAAGTTCTTAAAACTGCAAAGTCTGTTATCCTCAGGTATGAGGCAACGCAGAAGGGAGAATCCCTTCGACGCTCTGCACGCTTACGCCCCTAGCTCGGGGGTCCTCGCTCCGGGGGAGGGTAGGTCTGCAATGACTTGCTGTTTCTGGTCGCCTGTAGCCTCTCTATGTCGAGGGTGTACCGTAGGTAGGACAGATTCGTTATTTTGTTTGGCTGTGGGCTAACCGAGTGACCTGCCTGTAAGGAAAATTTGTGAGGGACATATCTGTAAATACGGGAAACAGGCCCGTACTAACTGAGTTTCCTACAGCTAACCTAACTGCGAATAGCAGGCCCGCGCTACCCCTAGGACAGACAGGCCCTAAAGGCCTATGCTGATAGACGGTCCTATAGCCTATAGCCGGGTAAGGTAGAGGCCGAGAGGCCGAAAGGGAAACGATACCGGTCGGTCAGTCAGTCCGGTCTAGGTCGAGTCTAGGCTAGTGTAGGACTATAGATAGGATGGGCACATCGGTTCAGGGCTTTTGGCGGTTGGTACCGAGTACATCGCTGCTGCGCTACGCGTGAACTGGAAGTGGTGACGACTCAGCGTTGTGGGAGACAGACATAGCCAGACCTTCGGAGCGTCGTCCATAGCTGGGACCTGTGCGGTACTCTGTCAGCACGTGGGGCTGCGCAGAGGTTTGGGCTATTGAGGTCTGCTGGAGGCGAGAGAAGTTGGTGCCCTGCTGGACCCTCCTCCGGAGCGGGGTCACAGGGTTGTGGCGCTGCAGCCATAGCTGCAGCTTATTCCTCAGAGGTCATCTTGTCAGGATTTGGTGGCGCTGCTGCAGACTTCCATCCGGGAAGTCTTCCGACACTTCGTCATCATCAGATACTGTGTCGCTGGTCTTCTTCTTCACCCTCTGAGTGGCGCTTGGCCTCAGAGGACTGTTTCAGGGTGGCACTTCCCTTTGGAGGCTTTATCTGGGTGGCGCTTGATGTTTCAGGGGCTCAGGGGTGTCACGAGTCGTTACTCAGGGTTGCGGAGTGAAGCGCTGCTCATCCCTGAGCAGCGCACTGTAGTTCTGAGTTATTCTGACAATTCAAGACTCTGAGTTTAATAAACAGTGTGATACTGGGTTTTGGACTATCTGATAATCATCGTTTCATTGTTTCCTGGATGTGATCTACTCGGCTTTTCTTTATAGAACGGTCAGTCATTCTGGGTGTATGTAGACCGAATGCTGGCCCACTTGCATCCGTAAGGACTCTACTATGTTGTATTCGGGGGAACTTGAAGACGGTCTCTCTCTCTCTCTCTCTCTCTCTCTCTCTCTCTCTCTCTCGTGTGCTTGGGGCAAGATGATCGTCTGGCAAGCTAGGAAATATCAACATCGTGCTTGTTCACCATCCAGACATGCATGCAAGTGGGGTTCGAACCTGGATGGATGTATCTGGACTGAATGGTGGCCCAAATGCAGATGAGCTGAAATGGTAATGACAGTGTGCCGGCTGTGCGCATTTACTTTCCGAGGTCGAAGTAGATAGGCGGGGCTAAGTAATCAGGTTGGTCAGGCTCCCAGTGTATGTAGACTGAAAGTCACTATGGGTGCATGTAGACTGAAAGTGTATGTAGACTGAAAGCAGGGCTGATTGTCAATCTCTCCCCTCCCATGTTTATCTTCTCTCCCTGCTCAGTCAATCCCCTGGGTTGAGGGTAATCTAATCAATGCTGGCAGGAAGGGTGTCCAGATGCTTAAACCACCAGTACTTGGCCTCAGGAATAGGCCGTGGGAAAAAAATAGAGTAGAGACATTTCTAGTCGGATGAATTTGGTCGCTCCTGTAGTGTCCCGTACATTGCTCACTGGCACGCTGGACCCCTTTTCCAGTAGGTTTTGCTCCCCACCAATAGATCAGAACAGCCAGGCAGTTTTCTAGGAGGTGTGCTCCTTTTTCACCTCTTTTAGCAGGGGGACTTTTTTTTTTTTTTTTTTTTTTTTTTTTTTTTTTTTTTTTAAGAGAGAAGATGGCCGGTTCTCAGGTAGGCAATAAAAAGATTGAAAGCTGAGACGTTTCTGATTGACAGGGATTTTTTTTTTTTTGTTGTTCATTAGTACAATGACACGTCTCAACAATTCCAAGTGACACGTGTCAACAGTATGGA